CCATTTATAATCGGATGTAAATAATATGTTAACGTTGTTACACTGCAAATAACTCTCTTTCAAGTGGCGTGGATGACAGAAGCGGGATAAATGTATTCAATTTGCAGAAATAATATTATGAAATTAATATGCAGCCATATTAATAGAAACATAAAATGATAATATCAAAAAACATTTTTTTTTTATTAAAAACAACGAAAATAAAAGAAATGACCACCTGCAAACAAATGATGCTGATCTTTTTATTTGGAACATTTTTATTTTATTTTAACCATGATGTGAAAGAAAGCGTCCAAAACAGAATATCTACTGCTTTAGAGTAGGCCTATCTTGTTTTTGATGAAATGCTTTGCTTGAAAAGTGCTTCTGCTTGTATTTTTTTTTTTTTTTTTTTATATTTCTGCAAAAAAAAAAAACCAAAAAAAAAAAACCTGTAGGCCTATTTAACATTTTTTTTAACAACATGAGAAGCAGAGAATTATAGCCTTACAAGCTCTACAAGCAAAGAAGCCTAATTACATTTAGGCTACATTTAAGCCAAAGCAAAGGAAATGCTGCCCACTTGCAGGTTCTGATTCGCAGGGTGGATTCTAACTAACTATTAAGAAAGAGCTTTTAATGATGTGGCCATTCATCTGTGCAAGACAGCATAAAATAAGGTATAATTACAGAACGAAACTTAATGTACTGATGGCTCTCTGAGAAAAGTTCATACTGTATGCATCAGCAGAAGTCAGTGCTTAAGATCCAAGTTCCAGAACACTGTGTTAAGACCCCTCAAGCGCTGTCCAAGTTCTGTTCTCCCAGATTCTCAACCAATTAAAGCGGAATCAGGAGGGGGTTGGTCGCTGATGGAGAGACACACACACACCGACGCGAGCACAAAGCTTGCTTTGTCTTATACCCACAAATAATTTGGATATTTTCAGAGGACGGTGGAGAGAAATGCACATGCCCACAGTGGTGATTAGAGCAGCAAACACTTGCAATAGATTATATAATAACCACCTCTAACACAAAGGGACCAATTTTGCCTTGAAACAGAGGTCTGTTGAATATCATAATGCCAGAGAGATCCAGAGAAACCAGACTGAGTTTTGGGGAGTGCAAGGACGCGTAGAAATTATCAGAAATTGCTCCAAACTTTTCCACCCATATGGAAATACAGTAGTGTGAATCTGTCACATTTTTAGATCAATCTGAAAGCTGTGGTCAACCCTCTGGAAAAACTGTTTCGAGGTTTGTATGATGCAACAGCATGTAAAACTGTCCATTGATATGCTAAATAACAAGCTTGTGAAGTATTCATGCAAAAATAACATCTATTTGTTATATTCAGAGGTAAAGCAAGCATGAAAGTGAAGTTTATAAATAGGTCAGCCATAATAATTGCCAATATTCTAAAATGCTCCAGAAACTAATAGCTGATTCTGTGTTTGGGTCAGTTAACTTGTCTGAGTCAAAGTTCTCAATCAACCAGTCACAGGCGAGAGAATCGAGGTACAAATAACTAGTCTAGATTTGGCTAAACTTAGTTCATTGCTTTAAATCTTTGAAGGATATTTAGAGTTTAGTTTGATGCACATAGTAGCTTGTAAACTAAATTTTCGGCTTTGTTTTCTATCTGTGAAATAAACATATTACTTTCAGAATGACCAAAATTCTGTCTATTCTTTCCCTAACATACTGCATTTTTAAAGTCCCCCTTTAGTCAATAATTGTATCCCTTAAAACTCATCTTTGATCACCAAAAATTTAAACGGTTATTCCTTGAATTTTTCTTTCATCATGCCATAAAATAGCTTGAATGTTACTCTACACCCTTGCCTCATTTAGTATAGGCTATAGTTCTATGAATATACAAATTATCCCCGCCTCCACTCACTCACACTAGCTCAGAGATCCACTCGTTGATCATCACACGTTGACGCGATCGGTTACAAGGTAGTTTGTGACGTCAGAGACACCAGAGATTTCAAACTGCGTTTTTGAGACTTTGTCTTTGGTTCACTGCAGTTTTAAGGAGAAAACTTTAAAGTCGCCATGAAAGGGAAGTGGTTATAGTCTTTTCTTCCCTATTGTGATGTATATCCGAGTCAAACGGCTTCTCAAACAAGAACCCCATCCCCCCCCCCCCCAACAGACACACCATGCTGTGTGCTTTCAAAACTTCTTTAGATGTCTCAAAAGGCAGTGTTGTGATGTATTATTTTCCATCAGTGCCTATAGTATCAGCGACAATGTGGATGCATTTACGACGACACTTTGAAGTTTACTGCGAACATGCACTTCAATCTAGACACGACATAAATCGATCAGACCAGACAATTGTTTTGATTTTAAAGAAAACAAAAAGCGGTACCAGACATAATACAGAAAGGGATTTATATTTTGTGTCTGTCGGGAGGGCAATAAAGAAACAAGACATCAAAGTTCTAAAGTTTATTAGAACTGGTTGATTTTTAGTTATCAGTCACTGTGGAAAATAACCAAGTCTGTTTCTCAGGGCCTAAAACTAAATTCTATTCAAAATTATTTTTGTTTAGGCTAATAGAAATAAAATACACACTCAATATACAAATAAAATATACACAAAAAATTCGTACAAATATGGTACAATGTACTGTATTAATTTAATTAACATGTTTTACCTGTATTTTGAATTTGATTGCTTTGTGTTTTAGGGGTAAACGTAAATGTCTGAAATTACTGGATAATGTCCGGCTAATAAGCTGGCAGTACTTTTTCTGTTATTTTATTTTTTTACTGTGTAGGCTATACAATACACAATGACATATAGCTAAAAACAGATGAAAATAAAATAAGAAATAAAATAAGTTTAAACTGAAATAAAAGTTCAAGTTGACATACTAAAATTACAAAAAATTTAAGATTTAAAGATAAATAGAAATATCCACAAAAATACAACTAAAAATGACAAAAGCACATAAAATGACCAAAACTAAAATTAAAAGAAAAATGTTAAAAATATATATATAAAGGTTTATGAAGAAAGAAGAACCAGTTCTGTCTGTTAAAAACATTTATTAAGTTGCTCAACAACTAGCAGAACAAATCATTAAGAATTTAAATCAGAGACATTTATGAAATATTATAAACTTTTATCTCAACTAACAATATATCAAGTTTGTCCTGAAGTGTGTGAACTCGCACAACCTGAAACTCAATGGAAACATTTTCTAGGATAACATTCAAGATATCAACAGAGGACCACAGTTGGTTCTATAATAAAACTTTTTTTTTTTTTTACAAGAAATTCAAAAAGTGGTGAATGACACCTGGAAATGTATCAATATTCATCATATAGAAAATACCACTGTAATAGCTGAAAAAAAAATATACTACACTGATCAAGTGTAATTTGTAAACTCACTGGAAAATCAAGTATATGCAAATACCATTTATATGATATAATATGATCAAATAATGATGTGCTCTAAACACATTTAATTGCAAACCACAAATAAACTAGGGTTTTAAATCTGCTGCAATCGTCTCCCGAGCGAGGAAATGTTATCTGTCAGTTTCTGCTGCAAATAAAGATTTGGTTCGTCTATGAACATATGGCTTTGATGAATGAATATTCAAGTCACAGAACTCTTCAGTTTTGAGTTTCTTTAGGCGCAAATTAGTAATTACTGAAGGAAGAAGACAGAATGTGAGGATAGAGAAGAACACATTACACTCAAATAATTGAAAGCTGAACATTACATGAATAATCACTAACATCAATGTCAGTTTATCTTCAGTCATTCGAAACTTACGATCAATAACAAACAAACAAACAAACAAACAACAGATTCACTAATGAAATACTAGTGAGGACGCACTAAATAAAATGATGAAGATGATTCAAGACATTCAGGTTACCTGGCTCAATATGTTTGTCTCAGACACAATTTTGTACCTGCCGATTCCCTTCGCAGTAGAAAACAATCAACTAAACTACTTTCTTGTCTATTTATTAATAGAAGCATGTTTTCCCACACACACACACCGTAACACTTTAAGGGATTAGTTCACCCAAAAATGAAAATTTTCTCACCCTCGTGTTGTTCCAAACCTGTATGAGTTTCTTGGTTCTGTTGAACACAAAAGAAGATATTTTGAAGAATGTCGGTAAACAAAAGGTTGATGGACCCCATTGACTTCCATAGTCTATTTTTTCCATCAACTGTTTGGTTACCATTTTCTTCAAAATATCTTCTTTTGTGTTCAGCAGAAGAAAGAAACTCATGCAGGTTTGAAACAACTCGAGGGTGAGTAAATGATGACAGAATTTTCATTTGTGGGTGAACTAATCCTTTAAAGGGATAGCTCACCCAAAAATGAAAATAAATGTCATTATTTCCTCAACCTCATTCTTTTTTGTGTAGTTGACAAAAGTAGGATTTCTTTAAGAAGAATTTCAACAGTTCATAGTTGAGCCATAAAAAGGATACAAATAAAATCCCCGTAAAAAGTGATCCATATGACTCTGTGCACTATATTCCAAGTCTTTGGAGCCACACTATAGTTTTCTATGAGAAAAAGACCAAAATAAAACAAATATTTACTGATAAAAAAAAAACATAATTTTTACCAAAACAGCATTTATTGTCGTACTTTTGCAGAGGGCAAGATTATCTTATTCCTCACACAATCAAATTTTATTTATTGCTATTGTTAACTAAAACTATAAAAATGTTTTATTACAAAATAACTCACACTTAAACTAAAATTAAGAAATACACAAATTATTTTTTTTTTAAATAAAACATTAAAAATATTAATAAATACTATGATAATAAATAACACTGCTTGGAAGCAAGTCATATGGACCACTTTTATGGTGCTTTTTAGAGTTTGAAAGCTGTTAAGAGTACGTAAAGATTCTACAAAAAGTAATTTGGCTTTTGAAACAAGAACAACGGCAGAACTGTCATCTTTGGGTGAACTATCCCTTTAAACCAACTATATTCATATTTACAAAATTTCTCTTTCCATTGGCTCTCTCACTCTTCCTCAACCATCATCTCTCTGTCTTGGCCCTGCAGGTTGTCTTTGCCACTTCCTGTGAGGGCTGGAGGTGTGTGGTCACACCTGTCCGAGTCCAGATCCAGCTCCTCGAAGGAAGAGACGCTGGAGGTGTCGCTTCTCTCCACGCGCTCAAAGTCCCAGTGACGGTCTCGGTCTCCGTGCGAGTGTGTCCTGGTGGTGGACGGGGCAGGTGAGGTGTCCCGGCTGTCGCAGGGGGGCAGGCGGCTCACAGAACTGCACTCGCTGTGGGAATCGGCACCTGTGTGTTTACACGCACACACCAAACACAAGAGGTGATTCATTTCGCCATAGTCTCACAGAAAGCAAGCAGCACCTCAGCAAATGAAAGCATCTCCTGTAAGGCTAGCATACAAAAGCTTGTATAACGTCTTCGTTTCCTTGTGTTTAATAGCGATTTCAGGTTGTTTCTGCACTTGCGCTACTTGCTAATTAGCAGTTGTGACTGTGCTTGTGGAAAGGAGATGAGGAGTGTTTGGAGAACTGCATGTGTTGGCATTGGAGTGTGTGAACAAACACCTTTGCAGATAACTAGGTTTCTAAACTAGCTGCTATATAGATGTTGAGGTCTTTTAGTTGTTTTTAGCATAAATTACTAGGCGGTTGTTTACTGAACAATTTCAAAATAGCTCAGCATCCCTCAGTCAATGCAAGCACGTCTATGCATTCTCTTTTTTAACCTGTTTTATCATCTACTAGGAGTTAATTGTATATCTCATGTTAAGAAAAGTAATAGCACTTGCCGCGATACGTTTGTGGTATAATTTATGTGGCTGAACTCATCTGACCACTTACCAACCATTCAGAACACCCTAGCAACTGCATGACAAGATGCAAAAACACCCTGAATATCTAGATTTTCATCATTTTTTTCCTGCATAAAAAATAAATTTGAAACATGGATGAATACTAAAAATCAGGCCAATACTGATAATCCGATAATTATAATGATCATAACCAATTATTGGCTGATATTAAAATTCTATACTATTTTGTGTAATAAATAAAGAATAACATACCTACAACTAAAGCATTTTTAAATGCTACATCAGTGTTGTTTTTGTTAACTAAAACTACTAACTTCGTTAAATATAATAAAACCAAAATAAAATTTAAATATTACTTTTAAAATTACATGGAAATTAGATAGGTTGCCTTTACAACTATCCGAAATAAAAATAAAAAAACATATTAAAGCTACATAGAAATATAAAAAAAACTACTAAAAAAAGCATGTAGCAAAATTACTAACATTTACTTAGCTAAAATTAAAATGAAGACTGCAAATATAAAATGAAGACTGCAAATATAAAAATAAAGGCTAATTTACAATACTATACTAAAATAACACTGGGCCTCTTTATTCTTAATCCTGCATGAAAAATTGCTTTGAAACATAGGAATGTGCAAATATTAAACCTCAATGAAATACTGATGATCATTGTGGCCAATAACCGAATAAATGACTGATATTAAAGATCGTTACTATTTTTGTGAAGAAAAAACCCCCAAAAAACAAAAAAAAAAACAGTTACTCTTTATTCCGATAGTCCACTTTGGATATTCACAGAAGTAACTTTGTAACAACAAATGTAAAAATTGGGGAAATGATCATGCACAATTAAAAATCCAATATAAAAAAATATGGATAAATGAAAAAATATGAATCATCAGCCGATTAATCAATATGCTACAGATATGTTGTGCCTTCCTATTGAGAGATAAAGCAAAATGTTTTGCAGCTATTCAATTAATCTTCTGCATCAGGAGTTTTAGACACACACACACACACTCAGTAACTGACAGTATGAGAGAGGAGAGACTAACAGATTTAGAGAGGTGAGTGTGTGCGCGCTCATGCTGTGTGTGAAGGAGACCCCGCACGCTCACACTCAGTGTGTCGGAGTGACAAACGTGTCAGGACCGCCTGCGTCTCAGCTTTTTTTCTGCTTATGTCAGTGCTTCTAAGATGAAGGGATGTTTTGTGTGTCTATTAGATGACCGTTCACTAAGTGTTGTTTATCTGCCTCCTGCTCTTTCCTGTCAATGTGGCATTTTGGTAGGGACGGACAGATTAGATGAAAGGGGGGATAGCGAGGGATGACAGGGAACCGAGTCTGTGAAAGAGAGAGAGAGGAATAAAGATAAAGAGATTGATAGTGCTGGAGAGAGAAAACAAAGTGTCCTTCAAATGCCATCAGCGTAGTGGAGGCCGCCGGAAAACTGTGACATTTTATAAATTTTGCTTCAATAACTCACAAACTACTACAAATGTGCCTACCATCTTTTGGTATTTGTTTATGTGCATTTATATGTGCCAACAGTTATAGTACTAAAAAAATTACATTTAGAATCACTTGAATTTAAAGTGCCCCTATTTAAGCAAGGTTCCTGATTTTGTTTTAGAGGTCTCCTATATAGTTTACTTGCCTGGTAAAACCCCCCACTAATTTCCCCATACAATATATTGCACATCACCTAATTTCTCAAAGAGTCTGAAAATGCTTCGTTCGGAGATTCTGTCTCTCGGTGAGCCTACTCTGCTCTGATTGGTCAAACGGCCTAGACTGTTGTGATTGGTCTACCGCTTACAGCGCGTGTCGGAAATGAAACGTGTCCATTTTTCATGTCAATTCGAGCCCGAGTAATAGCCTATGCATTTAAAGCATACATTACAAATTTGAAATATAAAAGATTCTTATTATTTAATCAAAACTGTTCTTGACGTATCGGCTAATAAGTTTAAGTTATTTCATTTCACGAAATAATGTTGATTTTATCAACAAAAAAAAAAAAATCTTTTAAAGGCCTGTTCTTTCAATTTAGTGTTACAACTTTTTATTTTATAACTAGTGATACAGTTGCCCTGACCTCACAAAATCTGCCATCAGAGACCAGAGCTAAAAATCTGGTATTCATGTTAACTGACAACCAATAAATAAAAGGTATTCATTTGGATTCAAAGAACAATTGGAAATGAAACCTAATTTGTATACATCAAAATAGTTTAATTGCAAATTTCTCACAAAGTAATGCAGTCTTTTCTCAACCTTAATGAGTGCATGCTATTGCCGATCAGTCTTTTGTGATTAAAGAAATGTATACAATTCCCCTTGGTTTTGGTTTCCCATATCAAATGTGAGAGCACTTCACAGCCCCTGCCATTTAAAGCACATTTCAGTGCAATATGCCACTTTGACAAAACTCATTTTGCAGCCGTTTCGTGAACAGCATCTTTCACCAGGGAACAGATGCTGAAAGCTTAAATCTGAGCAGCAAGGTCAGCGTCACACCACTTCAGCAAAACACAGCGATTTCTTCAGCATGACAACTAAAACATCACTTGACAACATCATTTGCGATATCTGCTTAAAAATGCGTAGCTGACACAGCGCTGAAACATGACATTAAGTAATTTGTTTTAGTGAATTATTGCAATTTAACTAAATCTTCAAAAAGAGATGACAGTGCAGATTAATAATTAAACGGTCAGTTATTTCTGACTTTACAACTGCAGTAAAACATCCCTGGCAATTTCAAAACACGGCGCAGACATCTGCTCGGAGACAACCAGAAGTACTTCAAAATCAAGGAATAGAAAATCTGTTTTCTTCTGTTCACATCTGTTCTCTGCACTTTGTGTCACTACAGGCACACTGCTGTCAGACTCCTGCTCATTAAAAGTTGAAAACTTCTGTAATTTGTTCAGAATACATTTGTGTGCACTAATAAATCATAAGAACGTGTTTATTTTGCTACTAGGAAGACAGTTAGTCTGACAAAACTGACAGATATACAAGTGTAAAAGCCAGGGTTCCTACATATTTTCCATTTCAAAATTTACTACAGTCCTCTGTAAATATTCTTATTTCCTGTTTTTTTTTCATTGGTTTTCTCAAAGTGATAAGCGCTTACATGATGAGAAGAAACCTAAAAAGCTTTATAACCTGCACACTGTATATTCACCTCCGACACATCAGTTTGATACTGTTATTTGATGCTGAATGACTACCAAACAGCAAAGTACAGTCTGATGATTGTTTGCTCCTTTATCTGTTGCTGGTTTGAGTGGCACACACACACATATTCAACTAGTGAAGTTCAAAAGAGACTTATGGTAAAAGACAAAGTGCTTCGCGCAATGAAAATGTGCGCCTTGGATTTATTAAATTGTGTTCGACAATCACTAAAGGATTACTAAACTTTTGCCATGAAAACAACGCCAAGGTCATGGGTTTGAATCCCAGAAAATGCATGAATTTAAAAAATGTGTAGCTTGAATGCCATGCAAGTTACTTTTGATAAAAACGTCTGCCGAATGCATACATGTAAATATTACAAATACAGTCATCATGAAATTTTTATTTTTCTACTGCGGAAGACAAAAAAAAAAAAAAAAAGAATGACTGAATTACTATATACTGTTTTTGTCCAAACAATAAAGTAAATGGGATCAGAAATCACATTGGACCTCTTTGACTTCCACAGAATTAGAAAAAAAGACAAAAACAAACTGATGACTATTTTTTATTTTTGGATCAACTATCACTAACTTATTCCTAAAACACTTATGTTGCTGTTATTATAAGCCAATATTGAAAATATATTGGTAACACTTTACACAGTTTCATTTGTCAACATTCGTTAAAGCATTAACATAAACTAACAATGCACAATATATTTGAACATTTATTAACCTTTGTTAATGCTAGTTAATAAAAATGTTCATGCTGTGCATTAACTAATGTTGACAGATACAACTTTTGATCTTAAAAATGGATTAGTAAATGTTGAGATTAACATGAATTAAGATTAATAAATAATGTAGAACTATTGTTCATTGTTACTTCATGTTAACTAATGTAGTTAACTAATGTTAATAAATTGAACCTCATTGTAGAGTGTTACCAATATATTCAGCAATATTTATTACGTTTCAACGTTTTCTGATTCAGATGATTTCGTGTTAGATTCTAAAGTTATAAGCCAATAGCAACTAACTTTGTGCTAGTCTTGAGGGTCTGTGTGTCCCGCTGGAAGATCAAACGTGCACTTGAACAGGACAGTAGGAATGAGACATGCTGTAAAACATATTACATTTAGCAGCACATTTAGACCCAACAAACCAGCAGGCTTCATATTTGTCCTTTAATCTTCCGTCTTCTCTGCTTTAATCTTCTTCCTCTATCATATATTATAGTTATCATTATGTGTTTGTTTCAAGGTAACAGACTAACAGGTGTAACAGGCATCACTAGGACAGGACAGCTGGTGTGGACAACACACCCCTCACAAACAGCTCATGTGTGTTTCATATTTGCTCGGCGGTACCTCTGGGCTTTGGTCTGACCAGGGCAATACGCCATTCACACACACACACACACACACACACACAGATTGTGTCTCATTATCACTAGAGCAGGTGTAGGTGAGTTCAGCCAATATGACACAACCACATCAAAACTCCATAAGATGGTAGTTAATGCCTATTAAAACACTTTCATGTGAAATGAAACTGATACACTGGGCACACTAAATGTGAACTTGTTAAATGGACAATAGGCTACTATTACGCCACGTTCACTCCGCAAGTCCTAATGCTCAATTCAGATTTTTTGCTCAGATCCGATTTTTTGATTGGCTGTTCACATTACCTTTTAAAATGTGACCTATATCTGATTGCAGTGTGAACTGTTTGAGGTTTCAAACTAACCGGCATGCGCAAAAGAACAATAACAATGACATCAGACGCAGCACGCGGTTGCACTAAAGTTCGGGAGGTTATGGAGGAAGTAAGCATATTCGCATTTATTTCATAATGTTTGTGAATGGAAACTTTTGCGGGTTTATGGTTGCAAATTCACTACAGAGATCTGTGTGGATGCGTAGACGAAGCCAGGAGTGGTGGGAATATGACGTGAATAGTTTCACTGAGACGCTGTTCTTCCATTTCATTGTGCAATTTTTTCAAAAACGGAGCGGTTACGGTAGGTCCTTCTAGCTTGAATTGAAGTATCTCCCCATATACTACTTAGATCTAACACCTCACTCTCATTGACTCGCTTCATCGCTGTTCTCCATATCTAGTCAAGTTTTTAATGTTAGGCTACTGTCTGTGTCTGTTGTGTCTAGGGCTTCGCCGGCGCATAATTGTGACAAATGTCGACGTAGATTGACGTAAGTCGCATCAAATCCGCCTTGATTGTTCACACTGCGGCCGCATTGAAAAAAATCAGCTCTGGGTCTGATTCAGGACCACATATGTATGGCCCCGTTCACACTGCAGGCAAAAGTGGCCCAAATTTGATTTTTTTGGCGTCAAGTGACCAGGTCAGACTTCTTCAGAGGTAGTGTGAACACTCAAATCTAGCTCAGATCTGATTTTTTCAAATCAGATTTAGACCATATACATATGCGGTGTGAACGGGGGGCCTATGTGGTCTAAATCTGATTTGAAAAAAATCAGATCTGGGCTAGATTTGAGTGTTCACACTACCTCTGAAGAAGTCTGACCTGGTCACTTGACCCCCAAAAAATCAGATTTGGGCCACTTTTGCCTGCAGTGTAAACGGGGCCTTAGTGCTCAATAAACGGTGTTAAAAATCTTTGATGGGAGCCAACAAGTTTGTACTAACGTCATTGTCAAACTAAAGAAACTATGTTTGGTAGCTTACATGTCTCTTCCACGTCTTAATGGGCAGTTCTTAGCCAAAATAATTATGTAGATAATCAAAAGTATGCCTTTGCTAAACTTTTATTTCCTTTAATTGGTGTACTGTGAGTTGCTTTAGATAAGAAAGCATCAATAGGAAAGCCATAATTAGTATACCTGTGATGTCCGTCCTCCTGTCCTCTTCAGACTCTTTTCCCAGTAACCATCTTTGGGCCTCTCTAACTTCAGGAACATAGAAATCACCCTGCCGAGCCAGCGGACTCATATAGTGGATCATCCCTCCTCGGTAGATCTCCAGAAATGGATGCGCACATAATTTCCTTTCCTAAGAGACACACAGACAGAAAGATAAAAGAAAAAAATTTGAATAAAAGTTCTTTCAATCCAGCCACATATAAAAAATAAAAAAAACTCCAAAAGAGAATGATCCCAGCACTTTTCCAAGCTGAAATACACAAGTTTAGGATTTTTCTTTTATGTTTAAGAAATAAATACTTCTATTCAGCAAGGATAAACTTCAAAAGTGACAGTAAAGACATTTATAATGCACTAAAGGCTTCTATGTTAAATAAATGCTGTTCTTTTGAACTTTCTTAATGAGTATCATAGTTTACACAAAAATATTAATCAGCACAACTGTTGGAAAAAATGTTTATTAAGCAGCAAATTAGAATATTAGAAGGATTTCTGAAGGATCATGTGACACTGAAGACTGGTGAAAATTGTAATGATGCTGAAAAATCAGCTTTGGCATTACAGACATAAATATCCATCCATATCAACAGTCAGCCTTATCATAATTTGAACTCTTAACGTGCATTTAATCATTCATTTCCGTTTATGCTGGGATTTATTGTGTGATAATGGCTGGCTAGCTGTATATTATCAAAAATCAAGAGAAAGATTGGAAGAGGGAGGAGAGAGAGAGAGAGAGAGAGAGAGAGAGAGAGAGAGAGAGAGAGAGAGAGAGAGAGAGAGAGAGAGAGAGAGAGAGAGAGAGAGAGAGAGAGAGAGAGAGAGAGAGAGAGAGAGAGAGACAGAGAGAGAGAGAGAGAGAGAGACAGAGAGAGAGAGAGAGAGAGAGAGAGAGAGAGAGAGAGAGAGAGATTCAACAGAACTGTATTTGTTCACTTACTCATCCACAACAAATACACAATTATACATTAACATTTTCATAAAATAAAAACAGTATAATATTCACATGACAGCAATAACAGAAAAAATAATATATACTAAAACACAGAGATCATTCCAATGTTGGTGTAAAGATTAGGTTGTCTTCAAATAGTGTACAAAGAGTCTCATTATAACACCACTGGTCCAGAAAAAACTCACAATTATTCATAGCTTTATAAAATTTATAATCAATCAAAATTCTGGCCTTCACAAATTCTTTAAACATTAATAGTGCTTCTTGTCCTGTTTTACTTTCAATCTTGTTCTTTCTGCTGAGAGAGAGAGAGCAAATAAAAGGAAGAGTTGAAAAGCTAAGAGCAGGTCATCCACAGACACTGTCCAGCCACTAACGCTTCCTCTTACCCCTTCCTATTCTCAGTTTTCACCCTTATTACTCACTGATTTTAACACTTATCCTGAACACACACAAACACACTTCTCATCAAAGCTAGCAAAGCTTGCTTCATTTCAATCAAATTTAAGGAGCCCCCAACAGAGTTGTTAAACCTCCTATTGAGACAAATCTGTCTTGTGATCTTTTCATTAAAATCTTACGAGCACTAAATCACACTAATTGAAACAGGCATTTTTAAACCAGGAATATACCCCAAAAAAATAAAAAATAAGAGGCTCACTTTGGGATGCTGAGTAGGGTGAATTCAGGTTGATTGGGACACTTTTTCCACACTCATTTCAATGGCAAAAAGTATCCCAATAAACCTGAATTCACCCTATGGATATCAGCATCTACCAAATACATGCATGTAAAATACATTTGTCGAAGGCATCCTAAATGCATCATTTTGATAATTGTATTCTTTCCAAACCCTAAAAAACCCATTGCTGATATGTCCAAACTATAGCCAGCATGTGTTGCTTTCCCTTCAGGCAGGGTGTAGTTAACAGTAGTCAAATGTTACATCAATATTCATTAAGCTGATGAATATTTTAAAGTGAAGTGTTGAATATGTAAATCAGAAACGGTTTGAAGTCCAAAAATATAAGATGATTGATCACCAGATTGGACAGGGATTATATTTAGATAAATTAGTTTGTAGAAATCACAAACAAAAGTCGGATAACTGCTCCCCCCCCCAAAAAAAGAGACTGAGGCAAAATTAGCAGCTGACAGTAAAGGATGTGTGTTTAGTTGTCTACATGTACTCAGAGAGTATGGGACATCAGGGACGTCTCTGTTCTCCCACCATCTGTTTCTCACAGACAAAGGCTTTCAACACCTGTATGACAGTCAGGCTGTTATGTCTAATTTAATTCTGATAGGTTTAAGTCTATATATGACCAAAATTCTCTTTTAAAATTATACATATAAAAACACATATTCATTTTTACCTGAATAACTCCTCATTGCCTTGCTTTTAGCATTAGCATACATTCTGCTCCTACAATTTAAATCACAAACAAATTCAAAGTCTGAAAAAGCAAAAGGCCTGATCTGAACCCTCGATCTCCCCGCCACGGCGCTATTCTACATCTGACAGATGATTGACGTGTGCTGCCACGAACAAAGCTGGAGGACTGGGGCCGTAAACAGGGACAGGAGACAGAAGGGACTAGAAGCTGGGGGATTACGTAACGCTATTAATATCCCAATATCATAAACAATGTATCCACGCAATAGTGTTTGAGATCCAGTCCCTCAAGACCTGAAAAAGGAAAATGCACAGATGAGCAAGTTTAAAAAATGTCTGTTGAGTTATTGATTCAAACTCTTAGGTAACAAAATTGGGCCGATTGTTTGTGCAAGGATCTACACTTATTAGGTCAGCTAATTTATCATAATTAGAAGTTTTGGCTTTTTTTTAAAAGTCTGTCAAGTACAACTTTAAATGCTGATGCATAATCCATAAGTGTATTGTCTTGGTCTCCCTAGTGAGATTTTCTAATTGGTTTATGGCTGAACTATTGATTCTAGATAATTAACCAGCTCACAGTCTCATGTGACACTCTGCAATCAAAATAAAGCTGAAGGGCAAGAAGTTTCATATCCACCATCATCATATAATCAATAGTCTTTCCCTCAAAGAATCAGCTATTGTTCCAATGTTTTACATTTACCTACTAATGCAGACCTACAGAGTTATCCTCCCCTTTCATAGAGGTCTGGGTTTGTATTTCATATTTTTCTCCAAAGAGTTTTCCAAAACTCCTCAATAAGGAGTTGAGCCAAACCAATCAACCTAAATATATAAATTCAAAGCCAAAAAAACTGTCAGAAAAAGACAAAGGTTTAAGACTTCAAAAGATTTACCTCACAGCTCTTTATGGCATTAGTAGCTCTTTCATTCCGTTATAATACTTTTATCAAAATCTGAACTTTAATAAAAAATATATTACACTTTTTTGGAGAACTTGAATGGCAGTTTAACTTTCGGAAACCTACTGCTGAGCTCTATTGCCGTCAACCCTGTAGAAGCTACTTCAGCACAAAGCAAATGTGATTTAAAGGAATAGTTCATCCCAAAAAGAAAATTCAGTCATTATTTTAATCACCTCATTCCAAACCAAATTACTTTCTTTCTTTTGCGGAGGACAAAAGGTCGATTTTTAAACAATACTAGGCTAATATTTGAAAGAATGACTCTTTTCTGTATACCTCAAGTGAATGAGAGAACCGAGTCTGTCAAGCTCTAAAATGACAAAATAGAAGAAACCCCCCCCCCCCCGCTGCATAAAAGAGCCATTAAATTATCATAAAAGTAGTCCATTTAACTACTAAGTCATTAAAATTTTGGTCATTAGCTAGTGGTAAATCTGTATATGACTAAAATTCAACTGTGTTGACTGACATTTCAAGGTGAGATATCCATGTATAAAAACAATGTAGATAACAAAATTAATGATGCAGGAGAATGTAGAAAAAAATAGAGAAGCAAAAAGGCTCCATTGCAAACTCTGAGAAGAAAAGAAAACAGATGGAGAGGAAAAGAAGAGGGATGCTGCGGTAAGCCAGAGACGAAGATGAAAAGCTGTCAAAATTTCTCATCCAAATTCAAGAGGAAAGGTTCCATCTCACACTGCTCTTCTTCTCTGTATATCCTTTTAATTAACGTTCCCTCATATAGATTCAGTCTCGCTAGACTCACAGAAATAGAGAGAGAAAAACAGGGCATGGAAATGCCTTCCGCTTTTCTTTTTCTCGACAGTAGCAGAGGATAAGCATGGATTGCCTTTCTACACTATGAAAAGGATCTTGGAACTCTGAGATCTGTTTCCAGGCTTTCATTCATTCAAAGAATCACAGAAATACTGATCTGGATGGAGTAATGTGATAGTACTTTGATACACACCGAAAGAGACATGATTTATATGACAGACTTAGACATTATCAAATGAGTAATAATATCTCCACTGCTTCCCATATAGAAAGTAAAAAAGATTGAATGGAGATTAAATCCTGTTGTTTTTCTGAGAAACAGAACCTAGCAATCTCAAATGTTACCAACATCTGTAATCAAAAGTCAAAGATCTCAAAAAGAACTAAAAATGTCTCATCAAATACTTCCATTAAATTCCAATTAAATCTTTTTTTTTAAACTATAAATGTCTTTACTGTCACTTTTGATCAACTGACTGCATCGTTGCTGTAGAAAAGTAACAATTTCTTTTTTTTTTTACTTACTGACCCCAAAAGTTTGAATGGTATTGTAAATTAGTCTCTTGAGCTAAAAAGAGAAACCTCACAACAATAAATGTTCTCTCTTGTCGAACTTGATTGTGCAACCAGATTACCATTTTCACAGATCACACATTTACCCTGCAGCAAAAAAAAAAAAAAAAAAAAAAAAAAAAAGAGATTATTAACTAAATAACAAAATGCCATATTGCCCCTTCAAGGAGAAAGACTCTTTTATAGTGATGGACCACTGCCATAAAATATCCCCACTATCTTCAGTGTCTCCAGGGATGGCATATCTCAGGAGAGAATAAAGATAAGACGCGGAGAGAGACTCCATGCTATTTACGAAAAGACATGAGTGACAAGGAGAAAAGGCCCCTGCAGTGACTGCTGGAGAAGCCCATCAAATATTTGGCTTGGTGATTGAGTAGCTTTAAGATTGTCTGGGACGTCCCTCCATTGCAATTCAAACTGGCCCTGCATTTCGAAAGGTGTTGTTTTTCTTCTGCAAA